CTTCCAGAATTTGATTTGGGCAACAATGCACAGAGAGTTCCATAATTGGCACCTTGGAAGATCTGAAAATATAAAATTTTCAATTCATTTTTTATCTGGACCTGGATTAAGTTCAATATTTCCAATGACTAAAAGAATATTAAACAGAAGTCTTAAATGTTGTTTCTGACTGGTTAAAACAGAGTCTGTTATATCCGTGCCTTTAGCACTAATGTCTTTTGTCCACTGATGAAAAACAGAAACATAGGCCGAAATTACTACCCGATCAGGTGAGGTTCTGAAGCCAGTCAGTAGCTTGCTGTTCTTTTCTTCGGTGAATGGCGCACACTTCAAGGCTTGAATAACATGGTTCCCATCATGTCGGACATGAGCATGCTCACCAAAACCAGTAGCTCCAGTTTGATCCTCAACCGAAAAACAGGGCACGGCTGATATTGATCCAAAGAGGCAACACGGAAGCTGGTACGCCTCACTTGTTAGATTAGTCACTCAGTCTCAGCTCCCACCGCCACGCGTCCAGGCCGGCAAGTCCACCCCAGGCGCTCCGTCCAAACACGAGGGACAATCTGAGGGCCGAGGGACTCCATCCACGTCCGCCACTCCACCGAGACACGCCGCAACAGCAGCAAGCCAGAGAAACCAGCCCAACCGGCAAGGTAGATGATATTTACCAAAGTTAGGATAACTTATGGTCGATGCTTGTATACACGCCATAGGACGCTTGTCTGCTGTTATTTTTCAAAAATGATGTCCGTCATTTGCGTCTTTGATCTTTCGTTTATGTAGCATACAGAGTAACGGCAACACTAAAGCTGAGGTAAATTTGGTCAAAAACAGACCTGCAGATGTCTGTAAAGCCAAATGGGATGTATTTTCTGGCAGCGATACTGCACAGCTACATACATCTGCCGCCACCGCCGCCATCTTCATTCACACATTAAATGTTGGAGTGTGGTTTGGCCGCTACATACATGTGGGGTGTTGTGTGTTCTCATGCTTGACTGTATATATCTGTAACCTTGAGCACCACCTCTAGCATTTGTATTTGTGGAAATACACATATGTGTGTGTCTTCTCAAACCTGGCCAATGCTGACCATTTTCTGTCCGTCTGTCTAAACCTCTCCTTTCTTCCCTTCTCCAGAGCCCGAGCCCTTAATGAAGCTGGGGGTCAACGGCAGTGTGCGGCTAATTGGCCAAGTTCGCCCGGGTCTTTGGCTACCTGTGATTGAAGTGTCCAGTGAGCACCCACTGTGCAGCTGCCGCTGCACCCTTCTCTGTTCCACTCCAACAGCCAAGACGCTCGCTGCACCCCTGTCTGCCTTTCCCTAGTGAGTAGAACCCAAGGTCATTTTATTTTGACTTATCCTCCCAGTTTACTCCTGTTCTCATGCCCTGGCAATTCTTTTGATTCCCACTCATATCAAAATGTTCTTTTGGAATGTTCCGAATAATTTTTTTGTGCATAGTATTTATTTATATATTTATTTTTGTCATCCTGTTCTTTCTTTTCTCATTTTTTTCCAAGCTGGGATTGATGGGACTAAGTGTGGGAGTCCATTTCTCACTTTATTTTGCTTACGCTTTTTACTTACACTTGCCACTGTTGGATTTAGGCTACTTCTGTAAACTACCCTCCAATTGGCCAACAGCCAGACGAAGAAAAAAAATGTCTAGCCCTAGCTTTCCTATAATGGGCCCATCAGTTTCTGGTTGGAGCAAAGTGTATCAAACTGCTCCAAGTAAACTAAAGGGTGTGAAGCCAAAACTACAGGGGGTGTTTCTAATTAGTTAAACCACCTCCTTTCTACTTAAAAAGGCAGTCCTGACGCCTATTGTTTGTTGTTTTTGGACAATAGGAGAAGTTGGACAGCTCTGGAAAAGAGATGGAGCAGATTTCAGCGAAAACTCATTGAGAAAATAAATCTGTTATCCTGCAGATAGTTGCTCATCCCACCTGGGAGATTCACTGGCAGTGCTCAACCCCAAAGTGCCACAGCACATTGATTAAAAACATGTCTTTTTTTGTTACTGTACCCATAGACGAGAAGCAGTGCTGGCTTGTAAAATGGTCAGCATTCTGTGTCAAACAATGGTCCAATTATAAGTCAAGTCCTGGACCAGAAGTTTGACCAAGTTCTGGCAAAACTTTACTTGCTCACTACTAAATTTAATGCTTGTTTTCTACGGTACACAAGTGAATAAATCTGTTCTTAGTGTCAATCTCTTAGTTTTTCAAACTGTTTATTTCAGAACACTTAATGTTTTTTGTGTGTTCATTCGTTTCTGTGATGTTATTCAAGTGGCAAAGCTTCCACGGACATCAGGAGTGGCTGGATTCTTGGCATGCTATGTTTATTCATCTGCAGAGTACTTAGCCTGACAGACAAGTTTTTATTTTGCTCCTTTTCTTCATTATCAGCTGTTTACTTTGGCCATAGCTGTTGTGCTCCAATTTCTAACACATTTCCTGCAGCCCTGCAAGCCCACCAGCCTTCCCTGTGGTGTAAAAGATAATCAAAATGTGGCTAATTTGAATAGTAGGCTACCCCACTTGGCTGAGCACAGACAATCCCTCCATCCAAGTTCTGTTAAATCAGCGCTGTCAGAACAAGGTGTTCAAACTACACGTGTGACCTGAAATACAGCCCATTAGGCATTCACATTTCCTATCTTTGGGGTTGTTTATCCCTTTTGTTGTTTACATTCTGCGTCTCACGTCCCATAAGACAGTGTAAATGTCATGGTAATGACATGCTTTTTGGTATCCATGAGGATTAGGAAGTGTCAATTATCTCTTCCGTGGGGCTTTGCCTTGACACAACCCCAGAGCAAAGAGGTGCATGGGGATGAATGAATCAAGATGCACTAGCACAAACAAACCTCCTGAATCTCATTTAGTTGTTGTCTTTTTTTGCAGCAGCAGAGTGGGTGGGGCCCAAAGTGTTGTTTGTTGTTGTGCAACACTGACCTGTTTTTGTTCTGTAACTTTTAGACACTTTAACTGTTTATTTGTGCTGCACTTGTTTATCTTATGTAAGATGAATTTTCATTTTGATTTAAAATATATTATTTTAACACAATTGTTTAATGGTTATAAAATGGTTGTACCCTTTGGCACATAATATTTTAAATATCAGGATTATACAAAAACTTTTGAACTTTTTTTCAAAGTTTGTCATGCTAAAGTTGACTTAAAATATATATTTTTAATCTAATCATTAAGTATCCACAATGTTCTGCATGATGACAGTATTATTGTATAATCACAGTTTTTAAAAAGGTAATTTTATAATTGAATTTTTTTATACACCCCTGCCCCCATATGGCACATAAGCTCAGTTCTGTTCATCATTCTCTGCAATAATCGTATAAGTTAAATATTCCTGGCTTTAAAAATATGTTCCCGCTAACTTTTTTTTTTGATTTGGTAATATAAAGACACTTTATAAATGTGTAGAGGTTGTTTTAAAAGGCTGCTGACATATACCTGCCAGATAATAAACTTGATTGCTCCTGGCCAGAAGAGACACGGGAGCCTCTTCACCTGCCCGTGTTTGGTCTTGCTCATCAAACTCTGCAAATGTCACGTCCTTGCGGTACAAAAATAAAATAAACCACCCTGTTCTTGACTTATCACCCCCGGTCCTCCTCCTGCAAGGCTCCCCCAGTCTCCAGCATGGTACGTCTACGTTCCAGTTCCCCCACACACCCCTGTGAATATCCAAGCTGTCGAGGCTGACTGGGCTGAACACTTTCTTGCCAGGGCACAGTTGGAACAGATCCGGCCTCCAGGCCACATATACTTGTCCAGTCCAGGCCCTGCAAACAAGGCCTGCCCTGTGCAGCTGTCATCTAAATGCGAGGAGCCGTGGTTGACTATGGCAAATTCTTTTTCTCCAACCCGTTATTTTAGTTGTTGAGATGGCTTGTCATTTTGGAATGCGATAGTTTTACAAGCTTTACAGCTCGCCGAGCATGAATTTCTCTTTTGAGCTCATTCCGCAAACCATTGAATTTGCACTGAATCATAAATAGAGAATGAGCCTTTGTTTATGAACAAGGTGTGTAAGTGCAGCGGCATGTATTGCAGCGGTGCAGATGCTTTCTGTTTGGTTTGTCGTTTTTGCAGATTATTGGCTTTAACACGGAGATGTGCTTTTTTTGTTTTGAATCAGCAGATGTAATAATGGTTATCTTTCAGCGGATTGTATAAGATACATAATAGCTGGAGTTAATCGTCCCATCTGCACCTTTTGTAAGCTTGGGAACTGTGGCCTTTGGGAATCATGGGAACATAAGACGAACAGCCAGGGGAGGCTTGTTGAAAGACAGATTCCAGACGAGCCACTCAGTTTCATGTCAAATTCACAGACATACAAATCTCCACAATGATCTGCCAAGTTTCTGCAGAAATCACTGGAGCAGGAATAGCAGAATTTACACACCCCCGCTCTCAGTCCGCCCCCCTTTGCTTCCCTCCTGTCAGCCATCACTGGATGCCATTTGGCAGGAGGGGGTGATAGGCAACATCTGTGAAAATCAGTGTGCGCGGTTGGTTGAATACCACCCACCCCCCCCGCAATCCCCCAATAAATAATGTCAAGTTTATTCATTTTATTATTTTTAGAGGCGTCTTTTCAATGGCAGCAGATTATTTGAATAATTTTGCACAGATTTCAGAACAGAAAGACTAAATTATTAAGAAAGGGGGAGATGACAATTTACTTTCTTTGCAGCAGAATTGCTTCTTGTTGTTAACAAAAAACAAAGCCAGTTTAATTTTCCACTTGTTTTATTTAGTCGTGTCTACTTAAACAATGCTGTTTTTTTTTTTTGCTAAGAAACAATTTTATTTTTTGTCAAGAAAAAGAAACCAGATTGATTCAGCAGGTCTCTGGATGCTGCTCTGCTGCTGCCAGAGATGCGACTGCTCCGAGTCATTGAAGTCTCTTTTATATGGGTGTGCTGTGAAATATAAATAATGAAATGGAGCTTGTAATTGGTGGTTCTCGGTAATTAGGACCAAGCTGTCAGCTCGCGAAGTTGCCTCAGTCTGATGGCACTGCAGCTAGGGCAGTAATTACTATTATCTATGGGGGTTTGTTGACACAACAATAATCCTATTCGCAACCAGAATAGTGGGGCTTATGTTTACTATTGCCACTTTAGAAAAGTTCAGGCACAATAATGGCAAAGACATAAATCTTTTAATATTTGTTTTGAAAGTCCGTGGAATGAGCAACATCAAATCCTTGCTGTAAATAAAGAGGGTGATCTTTGTCCTTACATTTTCTGCTCAGTGACTGCTAAGAGCTTGTCCATATTTTCATTAGTGACACAGTTTGACTTTTTTTTGTGTGCACAGTGTGAAACATGAACAGCATTATCAACCATCTCAGCAGGTTTTCTAATTCCCCTGTAATCCCATCCTCTCATTTATAGGTACTACTGGGGTTATTCTAGGCTTGGAGCATATCTGCCCACCTGCCTCTGCTCCTCTGTGTGAGAGATTGGATTCTCCAACTCCCCTCCTACCTCCATCTTGCCACACAGACTGACACACATTCGTGTCCAAGTTTTGGCTCATCTCATCAGATCCTCATAGTGTAAATGGCTTGGTCTGACCTGAGGATTTATAGGATAAAGGACAGCGACACTTCGACGCTGTGTAGGGGATGATTCCAGGTTGTGGCTAAAAACTTGCCTTCACTAAAAGTGAAATGCTGTTTGTCTGGCACAAGATTTGCAAGCGCAGCATTTACCCCATGAGATGAAAAAGCAAGTGGGCACACAACCAGAAAACCCAGGCAATGGTTTCTTTTCTAGCGATGGAGCTTTGTAACGAGTCTGTGTGACCTCCTGCGAAAGGTTGCAGTATGTGATGATTGGGTGAGCCAAAGAGACTAGCAAAGGTGCACATAAGTTTCTATTTTTGCTTCTTCTTCTTTTTTTTTAAATCTCCGCAATAACACACGACATGCAGATTGCTGTGGCTCTGAATTAAACATGTAGCACCTGATTGCCTGAGGCAAGATGGGCATCCCTACATATTGCAAGGCAGAGAAAATGCTTTTCAAGTAGGCTTTTTTTTTACTGGAGATATTGTATTCATTTTATTATGATAAAACATCCATTACTTTCTGAGTAAATGGCATTGGGAGTGTGAGGCCGTCAGAGTGCAGCTCAGTGTAATAACAGTGCGTCTGCTTTAAATGAGCCAAAGAAAAGAGCAGCTTCCTGTAGATATTAGTTTCTTTGTACGGGTGCTCCGATCTGACGATATGCTTTGTGAGGAGTAATAAAGAAATATATCTGTTTTGATTGTGCC